TCCTGCTATTGCCTTTTTGCTGCAGCTCTTGTCAACTTGCAGTTTACACAAAAAGTGCAAAATTCAACACAGCCTCAGGTGAAAGACACAAGCACCTTCCCAGCCAGAGCAGTACTAATCACAGCTAATCATTTCAATACTAGGTAATGCTGCACAAAACCTCACACAAACACTGTCAGGGCAAACTCAGTAGTAATAATTCTTGGGGAGGGGAGAACATGGAGATCAATAACTGCCACCAGTTAAGTTTCCCACATGTTGGAGTGCTTTGAAGCAATTTCTCCCACTGACTGCACTCAGGATTTATTTTTTGTTCTTATCCAGAAACAATGTAGGCTACTGGAAAGAGGTAAAAGGTTGATTTTATGCAGCACTTCCCAGAAAAGCAGCAATATAAAAATCAAGACGATATTTTTCTTTCAATTTTTTACCTCTACTTAATTTTCTTTTTAAGAAATGTGTGACTCAGCTCAGTCTGGGTTGTGCACTCCCAACTGCCAAGCACAATCCCCTGTGAGGCTTTGTTCTACCTCTAATAACCCTTACAAACATTCCTTCTGTCCTAACTTTCACTTAAAGGTTAAAGCCTTTATCTCACCCCAAAGCAGGCAGAGGATGTCACTACTAATAACCAGGTCTGGGGATGTGAGAGGGAGAGCCTGTGCTCCCAGCATTCAGGTTAGCATGCTCCCAAAAGAATTGCTTCACTTCTCAGAAGGGGGAACAGTTTCCATGGGCTAATCCATAAAGTCAAAGAAAAAATCCATGATTTCTCTGTTTTATCCTCAGTGGGACACACATTCCTCTCTCAGCAGTGTGCTTTCTGCAGTATCTCCGGCAAAATAAATGGTGGTTCCCTAAACAGTAATTTTTGCATCTTCAGGCTTTCTCCTGTTTCTCCAGCTTCCTTCTGTCATACATACCCTATTCCATAAACATTACCAGGAGAGGACTATATATTTTTAATCTTATTTTGAAAATTACTCCAGAGTTTCAGTAGATGTGCTGGCTTCTGTGCTTTGAGGAGTTTACATCTCCCTGTGGTTCACTACATCTGTGGGGTTTAGCTTTTGTAGCATTTAAACTTTGACCTTAGGACAAGTGCAGTGGCCAAAAATCAACTCCTTACTCAGCTGAAGAGCTGCAGCTAGCAAGCCTGCCATGACTTATTTGTCAGCATGTAGCTCTGACAGGTTTGTTAGTGTGGGATAAGCTTCACCCCAGCTGGACAGGCCTGAGTGACAGAGCAGACACAAAGGCTTTGGAGGACAGAAAAAGAAGTCAAATATTTTGGTATTTTTGAAAGAGGCATTTGAGGAAAACTGACCTTATTTCTTCTGAATTCTAGGAAGTTCTCCTTTTGACAGATTAAAAACCAGTGCAAAAGAATTATAAAGCTGGAATCCTTACCAGCAGGTGAAACAGGGCTAAGATTTGGGTGTTTTAATTAGCTCTAATTCTATGCATGGCAACAGCTATTGGCACTGAATAGGATAAAACAACAGAAACTGGTTTAAACTCTGGTTAATGTGCTCAGAGAACTCTTGTGAATACTCCAGACAGTAGTAGTTTAGTACCAATTCAGAATATCACAATCTATCTTGGTAAGAAATGCTACTGAGAAATTTGTTGACTCTGTGCTCCTTTAAAATTCAGGTAACTTTTAGGCCACATCTTGAACTTGTTGCTCGTGCTTTTATGAATGATAAAAGCCAGATGGAACATCTTGTAGGAGTTGCAGGAATTGGCTTCTGACTATTGAGGTGCCCACGTCTAATATGCATCTATTAAGTATAAACATTGCCTGGAGGCAAACATCAGAAGAGAACATGAAGCAAGGGTGTATAAAAATCAAGACAATATTGAGTTAAAAATGGGAATTCATCATCCCCCCTGATTTTACCTTAAGAACAGAGCCATCAAAATTTCCCACAGAGAATTCTTACTCTTGTAAGAATTTACTACTTAGTAAGACTTCATCTATTTGACTGAAATTACAACTGGAAAATACATTAGAAGTATTTAAATATTTCTAATAGCTTGCAAAGAGTTTGAAAGTTTTCAATCCTATTCAGCACCAAACTAAATTTTATATTCCATCTGGGGAATAACAACATAATGTTTTAGATTATTCAAGTCAAACCAGTGCTAAAGAGACAAAATGGGAACTTTCAATTTCCTCCCCGTTAAATAAGATGTTCTTAGTTCAGTGGAGACATATTCCTGATCACATCTTTTTCTTCTCAAAAGTGAAGGCTGTAATTAAAAAAGAAAACCAGAAAAATCAGCACTGAAGCAAATTTATAAAGTTGAATTCTGTGGAGTTGGACAAAATGACCTTCCAAAGTTAAAGAGAAGCTGAAACAGCCAATAATTGAAATGTCACAGGAGGAACTGGCTGCTGAGAAAAAGCAAATATTTAAAGATGAGAAATATTTAACAAGTCACTGGATTAATTTCTCTGCCAAGTTCATCAGAACCAAATATATTTCTATTTGATGTCAGGGACATCAGGTACAATCTGACTAACCTTATGGGCATAAACAACCCCGGAGGCCTCCTTAGCCCAGAACACTTTTAATGCAGAACATGCAGAATGCAGAACAGTTTAATGCAGAAAGAAATAATGTCATATATTGAACATATATTTTTCAGTGAGGTAGATGCACCTTGGTATAGAAGACAAAGAATTGCATTTTATGAAAGAAAGTTATAATTGTATGAATAACTGCTTGTGCTTCCATCTTTTACTGCTTGCTCTGAAGGAGCTGCTGCTGCAGCAGAATCCAGCTCTTTTATTAGAAGCTAAGTATGAGATACTCCTGTCACTTGACATACATAAGATTTATGTCCCTTCAGGGAGCTGTTCTGAGTTTTGCTCTTCTACTTCACTGGTTTCTCACCATCTTTACTCCATGGAAAGATCATAGTGATTAGCCAACAATAGCAAATTTTAATTAAATTGAGATTTCAAGGTGATTCCTGCTTTGTTTTCTTGATCTCCAGCCTCATGGCACAGGCTTCGCAAAAGCAGATACTTTCATTTTTTTTTCCTACTGATTTGAACTGCAACAAATTGTGACTACTTATGTTCAAAAGGCTGGGTCTCTAGAGGGATGTAATTTCACTGGGGAAAAAAAATAAAAAAACAAAAAACAAAAACAAAAAAAAACCTGGGAGCCTGGGAACAGGTCTCCAGACAAGAGTCTGTCTAGGCATGCTTTGAAATGATTAAGAAGTCCAGTTCCTCCTAATTCTTCCTGCTGACATGGTGGGAATGAAGCTGCTCAATGGGAAGTGGCCAGTGCCCTGGTGGAGACAGACAGACAGATGGACAGCTCCTGCTCAGGGCTCAGCACCTCAGCCCCATCCTCCTGAAGGAGCTGGAGCTTAGGGAGCCCAGTCAGTGAAGCAAGGGCTGCAGCTCTCACCACTGACCAAGTCCCTGCACGGTCACTCCCTGGGGCTGCTGCCTGCTGGAGCTGCCACCACCCACACTGGGACAAGGGAAACCCGCAGCTGGAACTGCCACCACCCCCCTGGGACAAGGGAAACCCGCAGCTGGAACTGCCACCACCCCCCTGGGACAAGGGAAACCCGCAGCTGGAACTGCCACCACCCCCCTGGGACAAGGGAAACCCGCAGCTGGAACTGCCACCACCCCCCTGGGACAAGGGAAACCCGCAGCTGGAACTGCCACCACCCCCCTGGGACAAGGGAAACCCGCAGCTGGAACTGCCACCACCCCCCTGGGACAAGGGAAACCCTCAGCTGGAAGGGCCACCACCCACACTGGGACAAGGGAAACCCTCAGCTGGAGGTGCCACCACCCACACTGGGACAAGGGAAACCCTCAGCTGCTGCTATTCCTGCAAATATCTGCAAGGTTCACCATCAGTGCCTCTTCCACTGGAACAGCTTGTGGAATGAAGAGTTACGCTGACTACTGCAAAACCACAGCCATACTTTTCAGTTCAGTCTCAGTTTTACCTTTGTGTGCACTGCTTTTAAAAAGAAGCATAAACAAGCTATTAATAATACAGTGTCTGTTCCGATACAAGATGATTTGGATGTGTTTATGGTAGCCCATGATTTAATTTACACACAACTGAACCGGTGAGATTTACAACTGGAACAGTAGATCATCTCTATGTACATCTTTATTTGGACAGTCCCTATATTATTGTTGTAGGGATAAATTCATCTTTCAAAGGGCTATATAAAGCCCAGGCGAAGCTTGTTCATTAAGCACTTAACACATAATATTTTAGTGACTAAAAGGGGAAAAAAAATTAAACTATTTTCATAATTCAATACTGTAGCATGTGACGGCATTGACAAGATCACCGTGCTAAAGTGACATCATCCACACCTGAAACAACTTCGAAAAACCCTCCAATATTTGCAGGGTGATGCCTGTAAAGTGTCAGACTTCTAATGGTATTTTCTTCCTTTCTGCCTGTTTAATAAGCAATTTAATGTTTTAATTAGGACTTTGATATACTTTTAATTTACAGGATAAAAAGCTTAAGTGTCCTGATGAGCTTTTTTGGCTACCTGTAAAAACCACCACTTTTTCTTCTACTACATAAATTTTCCTCTACTAAATAAATTTTATTTCCAATGGTAAGTCTCATTGACTCAGATAACCAGCAGTTTCTTTTGTAATTAGAAGCTTATTAGGTTGTTATTTACAGTGTAAGTGATCAATAGTTTTTACTCTGGATCAGACAGTGTCAAAGATCTAATAATTGGTATTAAATGTAAGAGAGATACTGCAACCAAAGCAAACATTCAAAAATCTTCAAAAAGTATACACTATACTGGGAGATTATTAAAATTCCCAATACTGGCTAAAATGTTTAATGTGCTGAATACAAATGATATTTTAAAGAAAGATTTGTGGATCAAAGATGGATTTAATAATCATAATGTTTAGGAATTTGTTTTGAAAATATTTTTAATTGGATAATGTCAGACTTCTGAATTACAATGCTGTGTTCATTAACATTTCAATAGGTTATACTATCAACTCCTTTTGACATAAAAGAATTTGATTAATTTTAAAAATCATGAATCTCATGATCTTTTTTCTGCTGCCACTAGTTTTCAGTAATTTGATTATCTTCTACAAGAAGAGCAACAGGAACCACATGGGCTTTGCTGGTAATGATGGTCTATATATCTCTTCTCCGAAAGCAGCTCTGCTGCCTTTGAAAGTAATTTGCAGTTTCTTATCAGCACAGAATTAAAAAGTAATATTGTCTAATTTGTTATGTTCAGTGGCACAGAGTATTGTAGAATTCTACCACATGCAAATCACTTTGAAACCTGTATTATGTGACCATAATCAAGAGTACATAAGTGAACTTCAAAATTTATGAAAGTGTTTATTATTAGCCAAGAAAAAATCTCAAAAGACGAACTTGTCAATAGGTTTAATAGTCTCTTAGCAAGATGTGTATTTTGCACACTCAAACCTCAGTGCAGTTTATAAAATAGTAATTTGTACTTTATAGTTGTATTGCAAAGAACTGGTCTGGACATTTCAGAGCAGGACAGGGCATAATTGTGTAAGTCTCAGAGTAAATCTGTACCTTCAACATGATGAACTCCTTGTTTGCAGAAGTTATCTTCTACTTCCAAGAGGAACCAAAACTGATTACTGTTGATCACTTAGACATAACTGCTTGTAACAGTCAACAAGCCATCACAGTAAGGTATAAAGACAGCCCTTAGGAGAAATGCTGCCTATCTGATGGCATTTAAAGCTTTAAAGAATTCCTTCTAGATACAGCAGGAAATCATCATGAGCCAGCACAGGCTGCCAATGCCACCGGGTGGAACCAAGCCATTAAATCATGTGTACTGGTAACATTGCCATCCAAACCATTAAATTAATTTATGGAGCTGGTCTTGCAAACAGTTCATCATGTCAGCAATGCCAAGGTCTGTGGTAGGAACTACCAGGGTGAGAAAAGCCTGTCACGTGGGTACATGTGCATGATGCTGGATCAACCATACTTTTGTGTTGATTTTAGCAGTTCTAAGAAATAAAACACGGTTTAAATGATATCCTACTACCTCTTGTCCCTCTACAATGTTTTGATACGAGAAGTAAGGCATGAAGTTCCTGTAGCTGTTTGATCTGACATTATCAGGTACGTATAAACAGATGATGATGTTTTAGCAGAGCAAATAAATTGTATGTCATTTTTTTATTAAACAAAGAGTATAATAACTGGACTATATTATCACAATGGAAGCATAGAAGACCATAGACTGTACAGCTGAAACCCTGTAGCAATATTTGTTCCTCATAGTTAAAGAAATGTATCTTTATCAAGCTTTCACAATGGCTGCATCTTGCTAATGTAAAGAATCTTCACTCTTGTTAAGGCTAGATGATTATAATTAAAAGATAAATGTACTGTTAGAAGGTTCTACGCCACACTCTATGAGAATTTAACTGAAAGACATACATTATACCTGTATGTGAATTATAATGGCTTCTCAGCAGGGAACGCAGAATCACTTACAGTACGTAAACATTTAAAGAGGAAAATGCTAACACACTGAAAGAGTTTAACATCAGTAGCGATTTATCAAATGAAGAAGTTTCATAAAGTCCACTCTCTGGGAGAACATTCACCATTAGACAAAAGCCTGGCATCCTTGATAGTCTGAAGTTCAATCAATTTGAAAACCAAAACCATTCAATGAGATAAACAAGATTTTAAGAAAACCATCATCTTCTTTCTCAGGTAAAAGCTAGAATTAAAATCATAATTATTAAAATAATCCAACCAGGTCGCTTTACAGGCAAACTTACACACTGTCTCTTTAAAACACAGCATGCCCAAAAGCCTTTTGGGTTTGGAATGTAGCACTGCACCAAGTATTTCACAAAGCCTCTAAATATCACAAGAAGCTTTTTTTAGAGAGAAAAAAAAAAATAAAATTCCAGCTGACTGAGACTGTTCTAGCAGGAGTGCCTCAGCTTAGCTCCCAGACCTGGAATTCCAGATAAACAACAGAGGACAGCAAACAGACTTTTTTTTTTTTTTTCTTTTTTTGATTTTTTTTTTTCTTTTTTAACATGTCCTTTTGTAATGCAGCTACAAGACGACTGATGAGCTTAGGGACAAAGAGAGTGAGAGTGCAAGTGCCATCAGGGTGAGCTGTGTGCTTAGATAGGAGCTGGTAGGAAGAGCCAGGGAATTCTCCGCGGATATGTGACTGGTGGAGACTCCCGCTGTGTTGTCCTTCCCCAGGGCATTCTGCAAGACACAACATCTTCCTTGGTCACCAGCACAACATTTCCATTGCAAAGCACTGAAGTTCTACTTCACGAAATTCATCTTTTGTTTGCCCACGTCCCGCCCTCCGCTGCTACCTACATATCAATCTCATAAATTGAATGATAAAAAGGGCATTAAAGCAGAGGTCACAATGACAGTATTTTGAAATTAGTTAACACCAGTACTGCACACTTCAAAAAAGAGAAGAGTATTAAAAAATTATTACTTTAGCAATGCTTCCATGTGTAAAGTATGGGGTTTATTTTAGGGATTTGTGTTTGTCATGCCAGTTTATTTTATAACAGCAAAAGCAAGACCCCCAGAGAAACTGCACCTTCTAGACAGTCAACAGAACGAATCTGTATGACAAGTTATTTCTGGATAACAATAAATAAAATTTAATCCATGAGTGCAGATTATTAAGTAAGTATCCTTGCTAGGTGCAATGGTGTTTACTGTGGGATCTGCTTGAACATGTACCATACAGGTACTGAAACATCAGATCAGCAGAGAACACTTTGAGCCCAGCTCTGAACTTCTAAGTGAGGTCATTCTTTAATGCATTACAATATCCAAACATAAAAAAACTGACAAGACAAGTGTGAGGTAGCCCATGATAATCTTGACAGACTTGGAATGTCTTTTCTTATGGGGAGGTGCCTGTGCTGTGAAATATCCAAGATCCACACTTACCTCATTAAGACAGAGCTCTGTATCTACAGATTCATTGGATTTTCGCTTCTTCTGTGCCTATGAAAAAAACCACAAATTTTATTCCCTGTACAATTTATACTTCCAGCAGCACAAAGCACTTAGATAAATTTGCATCAGTTGTCATAATCCTATAATTTTGACAGCAATTTGCACATTATTAGCAAATAAACTCCAAATGTAACTGCATGTTTTCCAATAACACTCACATTCTCATTTGAATTTACAGCAAAATTTCCAACAGTCAACTAAGGGTACTTAGTAATTACAATGATGAGAGCCATCAGCTGCAGAGAACATGTTATCTCTTCTGTGGCCCCTTAAAAATGCTGCTGGATGTTCATGAGAAGAAATGAAATATAACAGTTAATAATTACCATAATACCACTGCATATTAACAAATAATCTGTGATATACCTCAGTTTTAGGAAAATACACAACACAGGAGTATTTTATCCTTAATGATTCTTGCAATTTCCCCAAATATTATGATAAAAATATAAATATTCTTTTAATATATGTCATGGTTGCCAGAGAATCTCTTCCACAAAGCTGCAAAAGGAACACTGACTCAAGCAAGAAGTATTTCAGGTGACATAATCCAGAATGGAAGCAGCAGCCTGCACTCTGTCCAGCAGCAGGAGGTGTTTAATATTTCCACTCCTCAAGAGAACAAGTCTGGGTGTTTTCTGCTTTTCTACAAGGGCAGTACTAATCCCCACAGTGTGGAAGGGCTCTCAATAAACAGTGTTGTGGCTGACTTGAGCATTCAGTGATTCTCAGTATCAGTTCTTTGTTTATCTAACTGAGCTGAAGTAAATCAGTTCTTGTAAGAGAACTCTTGGGTTTACAAAACTACTGACTGCACTGGGCACATCTGGTGCTTCCACCTGGAAGTTTTGTTGGACCTGAAACTTATTTCCTGCAAAAAACTGAGATCTGAATTTCAGAGTGCTGCTTTCATTTTACACTGCAGAATCTCACTTGTTTAGGCAGTAATGGCCTGGACTAAAGCAGATGTGAGAAAGTGCTGAGCAGTCTGATTTTATGCCCCCAAAAATTCAGTTCCACATACTGCTATATTATTTCATATCTGAGAGCCACAGGTTCTGCCAATGGATACAAAATAGTCTTTGACCTAATTACTGATTTTAGAATTCAAATTAAGGAACTGAACTTCTTATTAGGAAACACATTCTCTGCTTTTGATAATACATGAATACATTACAGATAACTGAAAAAGTGAAACAGCTGGGATTTAAGAGACAGACAGCTCAGCTATAGTAATAATGCATACTGAATATATGTTGATGGTTTTTGTATATATGACAAAATAATAGCTCGATTTATTAATAAACACCCTCTGTAAAATTTCCTTCTTACATACCCTCTCTACTAATTAGCACCATTAAAGTGGTTATGGTAAGCATAAATTTACCTGTCTAAATGGAAAAAGAAATGCCTAGAAGTAAATTTACAACAAAAAGAAGCATCACAGTGAAGCCTTCATGCCATTTTGTAGTGGATAGGAAACTTCTTTTAAAGGCATCTTGGTATCTGTCAACTTCCAAATGGCTGGCTCCAAGGAGACAGGTAAAGAAGGACAAACTAGATTTAAATCCTGATTTTCTTATGTCCATAACACCCATACTATCCTGAATTGGAATGTGAGGCTTCAGATAAAGCCTCTGGATCAGAGGTTCAGATCCTGAAGGTGTAGGCAGTAAGGATCATACAAGCCTCTTATTTCTCAGTTTGTCACTTATTGCTAACTTTCCTATTCCCACACTGTTTGTTTATTTGAAACACTGCTTTGCTGCTTACACCTGCTGTGGATTGACAGCCCTGTGCTAACTACAGGTCTACACCTGGTAGCTGGTCTCAACACCAAAGTCAGAATTTATATGCCTTTTGTACTGTGCCTATCAAATGAGTAAAGAGAAAACATCATTATTTTGCCTATATGCAGTGAAGTCTTCCTTTACTTCATTCAGCCTGAAAACAATAGAGTGCAGCAGCTAAAACATATCTACCTTTGAGAACACTATTTTAAAGGTAAAATCAACAGCTAGAAGAAAAAAAAATCGCCATATAAAAAAACCCCCTTTCAATCATTTTGATAAACATTGTCTGGTTTTCATTTGGAAGGAGATACTTCTCTGCATCCATATACCTATTGTAGACATTGTAACATCAACACTTATTCACATGCATCCTCTATTAAAACGTCCTCCTCTCTTAGCAATGAAAAGCAATTTTAATAATCAGGCAGGCTTTTCCCTTATCAAAACAGAAAGGACAGTATCTTCTATTTAAAAATACAACAAAAATGCATCCTTTTATTGGGAGGAAGGCAAACAGAAAAGAAAAAACTGTCATTCTGAGGATGAGATGAGACATTATATGCCAAGTTTCAAATTGGAAGAGTACATTTTTAGTGTTGAGTTATAAACCTGTGAGAATAGGTTATAATGGAAATGCTGGCATAGGCTGCACTACTGGAATACAACAGTGCACCACTAAATCACACAAATAATGGGATAAAACCTACATGTTGAAGAGAGTGCTTTAGTGAATGTCCTTTACTTACAACCAAAGGGGGAAATTCTTCCTGTCTTGAGCAAAAATATCTTTACACCTAGCAGAACTCTTTGTGCTACAGTGAGTGAACACTTTATCAGAGATTAAAAAAAAATAATCAGAATTTAGAGGTTATGTGGATAGCCCTGGTGGAAATAGACCCAGACTGGGAGACGTGCATTTGAATTAAAAAGGATACCTCTGCTGTCAGATATTTACTTTCTAACATCTTCTATTATCCTAAAAATTTAAACAGGAGAAATGAGTGTCCATCACATACAGCTGCAGACAATTCTGGAATAACTGCACCATCAGTTAATTTGGGAATTGAGAGCTGTTCATTATGCAAGACGCCAAAGATTCACTGCCAATCCCATCTCAGGTATCCAGCTTGCCTACCAAGCAGGCAAGAAGGTGTTTTCGAATGTTCTGGAAGTACCTAACTCCACAGGAGTAAGAAAGCACACACAAATGGCTAGCTTGTCTGTATTCAAAATTGTATTATTTTAGAATTTTAATATAAAGCTGTTTATCTGCTGATAAACAGCTTTAGATTAAAATAAATCTATGGGGACTCTATCATTAAATAAAAAACAAGCAGGGCTGGGCTGATAAAAATAATGATTTCAAGAAAACAGTGATGGAAAATCAGCTTAAAATAAGTGGCTAACAAAGATGTATGAGTTCTTTTCTACTGAGGAAAAATAGCATTTGCTAATGACTTACTTAATGACACACTGAGCTGTGACATATCTCAGTCTGTAAAACAAAGTTACATAAATGGGCTGACACTCCAGCTTTGCAGGGAATTGTAATTCATTAATGTGAGCTACTCTGGCAAAGCTGCGTCCATACAGCCAACAGGCTTGACCTCACTTAAGCTTTTACATTTTCTAAAAATGAATACCTCCTTTCCCAGAGAATCTCCTCATTGTAGCAGCACATCTCAAGCAATAGATGGTATTTAGAGATAATTGTATTTAAGCACCTCCTGATGAGCTTCAGTACCGTGTCGGCTAGTCACATACAAGCCTTGTTTTGGTCTCAAAACCCTTAGCTCTCAATATGAGAACAAAAATATTGGACTTGGTTGGGGCTGGTAGAGTAACCAACAGCATGTCCAGAAAAAAAAAAAAAATCTCATTACGAGAAGCAAAATTTTACTTCTTTCTTTCCTAGAGAGTTAAATCAGGATCAGCAGATGACCTAGTGGTTTTCTGAAAAGAGAAATAAATATGGAAATAAATATTGCTTATAGAGACGTTTCTCCTTCAGAAGACACTGTGGACCTCCATGTTTCCTTCTGATCCTAGATGAGTTTAATTGTATGCCCCTAATTAGTCTTCTCTTGCCCTGCACCTAATAATTATCATAAGATCCTCCTAAAACAACTCCCTGCTTTCCATCCCCCAAATCCCTCTGGATCCATCCTCTGCAGACACTACAGCCCTGAATTTATGCCCAGAAATGCAATCTTGCAATTATGCATCCATCTTTTGCAAATCCCAGCACTGCATGGTTAATAAAAGCATTAAACACAGCAGCAGTGTCTCCCCAGGAGTCAGCACACACACTCAGGGCTTGTCACCCAGCAGTATTTCTATATGTTCACTACAGCATCAATTTCTGTTACTCAAAGCAAGGAAAAGTTCTGACTGGGAATGTCTCCAAATGGAGGTGAGCTTTCATGGGAGGGAGGGAAGGGAAGGAGAATGATGTAAAGGGAGCTGCATGCATTGCTCTGAATGCAAACAGGCACAGAGCATCCAAATTCAGAACCCAGCCCCTTTCTTTAGCTACCCACTTTGGGCTTTATGAGCTTTATGGAACATATTGCTTGGACACAGAGAGGCAAGAGAAGCATCATTAGGACAGGTATCTGCTAGGTAGGCTGTTTATACAGCTGATTTTAATGAGTGAGCCCTTGTCCTCTCCTGAGATCCTGGTTTGTTATGCCCATATTAACAAGCCTTTCTGAAGAAGAGGGACAAATCTCCCAAAATGCATCCTTCAAATGACCACACTTCTAAAGTACCTATAACAAATGAGGATGTTTGTTCTTTTTGTTCTTCTCCTGTGTTGATTAGAGAGATTTACTATGCAACTAACCTGCTTTCCCCAACAGCAGGACACAAACCATAAGCAGAGAAATATACAGACTGTAAAAATGCAATCAGTTTAACTCTTCTGTGCTCACTAAGTGGATGGTGAATCTATCACTAGAGACAACAGTATTTTCTTATTAGCACAGGAGTACTCTGCCACACTGGAGTATAATTACTTTCAACAGGGAAGATAAGAAAAGTGTGGGTCAGAGAGGCTACTGAAATAAGGATTCAATTCAGCACAGGGTAATTCTGAAACCCATACCATCCAGCCAGAGTGCAGAGCTATTTAAGCTATAAAAACGAGCAGCTCTGCACTGTCCTATAACAAAGCAGTCAGATCTTTTTTCTGCT